TTTACATGGGTACTATTTAACACTTTGTGAACTATGAGTATTGATCATACATGCAGCATCAATTCTATCTTGCAAATTTATGAACATCTGCCAGTGAGTATTGGAGCAAGAGAAAGAGTTTGAAACTCTTACACATTTGCTGCAATCTGAGATGAAAGCCACCTGAGAGACAATAATCACTGATTGAGAAAAAGGATCACATCAAGCACAATGATCCTTATTTTTGGAAGCAGGATGATGAGCAATGTTGAAAATCTCACACAGCTCTTTATTAATAGAGCAATAGCCTTTACAGAACTGCAGATTCAATGTTTTCTAGCACAGCAGGAAGAAGAGAAAGTATGCACTGGAAAGAAAGCTGCCCTACACAACATGTCGCTGTCATCCCTCCTCGTCATTGGCCTGGAGCTAGAGCAAGCACAGTGAGTTTAATATCATGAGATGCATGGCACTGATGAGATTGATTACTTACCTGCAGATGTGCCCTTTGCTGTAAGGCAGCATGTGAAAAATTATCAATAGCGACAAAGGTTTTTGAGAGCTGAACAACATTTGCTAGATGGATCACTCGATTTCAGGAAATCCAGTCTGTCTACATGTCTGTTGTCCCTCAACTACTTTTGCTCCAAGCTATTGTTCTTACAGCTGGCTCTACATTTAGTCCTGAAAATACCATCCCCATTTTCTTTGCATCGCCAGTTGGTCTGAGCTGCTTTGATTGCATCACTACTCCTTCCACAAGCAGTTTTTACACCAGCTGTTCAGCCCAGAAGACCTCATCCATTCTTACCCTGGATGACTGCCTATTGATATCAGAAGCCTCTAAAATCAATGCTGCCACCACAAAAGCCTCTGTCAAGCTTGCAGAGCATGTCCACCCCTTCCTTCCCTCCGACATTCTTAAAATAGAGCATAAAGACATTCAAGAGATGGATCCTGCATGAGTGACCCAACAGCATGCACAAAGGCAGGCATTACTCGACAGCTTTGCATTTGACCTGATGCCCACAGAGTTGCTGCTATGACAGGCACAGTGCAATGATGCGCTTGAAGACTTACACACAAAGTTCCATATATGGTCCTGCTTCTGACAGTACAGGCAACTCAATATCTACAATCAAGACCAGAATATGCGTGCCAATGACACACTCAACAATATTGAAGATCGACTGCAGTGTGCAGCCAAAAAGTATTGGGCCACATGGAACGCATTCCATTCTCTTGTCGGCAGCTGAAACAAGTGTGTGGAGTATGATGCTGAATTCCTGCTACTCCTGCGCGAAGACATTCGTGTTTTCAATGCAGATGATCTGAAAACTGTGCAGAAGAAAAATATGCGAAAGCCAGAGAAGAAGCGCATCACTAAGGACTCACACAAGGTATCATAGATCTGATGCAGTGCCGACAAAACGGACAGCAAAGGTATCGACTCATGCAAGTAATAGACTACTACCAAGTGGCAATACATTAATATATTGTGCAGGTATGCACATTAAGTGAATGAAAGCTTGCACTCACTGCATGCAGTGGCAAGAAGAACTCCTTCTACTGTCTGAGGAATTGTGCAGAACAGTCCAATACTATCTCTAGAAGGCTGAGTGGTGGAATCAATGTGCAAATCTCAGACCGGATGCAAGTACTGTGCTACAAGAAGAACTTGCGGCATATACAGCTTAGCAGGCGTCTATTTGTCATGGCCTGGCACAATAAGCAGACCTCGCATGGCAGAAGATGAAGCAGCTTGCAGGTATGTGCAGTACCAATATCAACTCCGCTGGCACTGCTGACAGCTGTAACCCACTCAAGGGCCTAATATTTTCCTTCCTCGATGTAGTGCCTGATATAGACACTGAAGGTGTTGAGGATAATGGTGATGATGATGATGATGGAGTATTGGAGCTTGAGGAAAGTAAAGCTATTATTGCATACATGGAGCTAGAGTTGTAATGTATATATATATATATATTAATTTATTTTACATTACTATAAGCTTTGGGCTGTATGCATAATGCTGTGTGTATAATGTGTGAATTGATGACTTCTACTCTACTCATGCTAAGGTGGCAGAAGTCTGCTTATATAATCAACTTCAAATGGTTTATGAGTGGAATGACTCCAGAAATATGGGTCTTGTAAGCAGCAGCGCAAAATTAATGTGCACAAGAGCTAAAATCTAGCTATAATTACCATATCAAAAGAGCCACATAAGTATTTTATTGCATGACACCAAGTGCTAAGTCTTCTGGCTGTCAAAAGTGTAATACATTACAGTGCAAAGCTGTGGCCATGTTTAGTGCTAAGTGTCCTAGCTGCCAGAGTAATGCATTACAGTGCAAAGCTGTGGCCCCGTTTTAATGCAATACAGCAGAGAGCCATAATAGTACAGTTATGCATTGTTCTTATAGCAAAAACTGGATCGCATCAAACCACATCCTCATCTCGACCTGCATCTCCACCCCCAGCTGCTCAATACTATCACTATACTCCAGCTCAAACATGACAAGCAGCATACTCTCAACTGCACCTGTGTCTTTGTACATGTCATGCTTGGTGTCACCTGGGCGCATGGCGCGCATCTCAACACATGACAGCAGATCAAGCTTAACCTTTGCAATGAGCCCTGCCTCAGACGCAGTGTGCTTGGACTAGTGCATAGCAAGCATATACATGAAGAGCTGCACGTAGCTGCACTCTCATGTGTATTTTGTCAGCTAGTGCACATTGTAGTACCATGCCGGTGTATATTGTAGTATCATGCTTGTGCTTTGTAGATTGACTGCCAAAGGACTAGCAGAGAAAAGTCAGATCAGCATCACACCTGTGAAAGAAAAAACAGGCAAAA